CACGCAAGACACACACACAGAGGCAAACAGACATCTGTTAAAAACTTTTCCACCACCATCGGCTCAGGTCCACTAAAACAAAATCCTTTAGGATGTGTTTTTGTTTTTGAAAACTGGTTGTGTCCCACTAATGGATACGAAAATCAACTTTATGGATTCATAATAAGCAGTATGGAATAGAAAAGAAAAAAAAAAAAGAATAGAACAGGTGAATGTTTTGCAAGTTGAAAAAGCATTATTTTGTGAAATCCTTTTCAGTTATATTCATTTGTGTTTTTCTCTATGTTCTGGGTTATGATTAAAAAAAAGTACACTTCTTACTGTAGTTCATCTTCAGAAAAGTTTTCCAAGCCATGTATTGGAGCACTTGGAGAGAAAAGTGTCATTTCTATGGTTAACCTTATTGAAATTGCAAATCTGTGATCTGAAATGGATTACACATTAAACCAGTACTTCCTTACAGATACAACAACAAACACAATTTCATCTGATAAGCAAGTTGTCTTCAAGGAAGCAGATAAGCAGGGTTCTGAGGGAACAGGCATCTAAATAATTACATTTTGATGGGAAGATGAGGAAATAATCTCTGTGATTGAATGGTTTACCAACTTAGGTGTTCTGACCTAACTGAAGGTGCCTGGCTAGGCAGCGGCCAGTATACTTTGGCAATGAGAAACTTGAAAGGGTGAGTTGAGAAAACTATGGAGAAGGGTTTGGCATGGGTGAGCTCCAAGCATATAATCATTCTACTGTTAAAAATTGTGTTGGGTAGAACTGGTGAAGGACAGTGATGGCCAGAACTTATATTTGTCTATGTCTTCACATATTTTAGAGTATTTTTATACCTACTTTGTTATTTTAGTGAGGCATCTTAGACGCAAAATGTAAGGTGGTGCTCATTCTCAGGATTGTGGAAGTATAGTGCCCTGTGAGCGTTGCTTGCCCGACCCCAGCCTGGGTCCTGTAGATGAGATTTGACAGTATTGATTCCTAGGCCAGATGAGGTGGCCCATGCCTGTAGTCCCAGCACTTTGGGGGGCTGAGGAGGGTGGATCACTTGAGGCCAGGAATTTGAGACCAGCCTGGCCAATGTGGCGAAGCCCTGTCTCTACTAAAAATGCAAAAGTTAGCTGTGTGTGGTGGTGCATGCCTGTAAAACCCGCTGCTTTGGAAGCTGAGGCAGGAGAATTGCTTGAACCTGAGAGGTTGCAGTGAACTGACATGGTGCCACTAGGCAATAGAGCAAGACTCTTTTCTCAAAAAAAAAAAAAAAAAAAAAAAAAAAAGCAAGTCACACAGAATTTAAGCTGAAAGGTCATTAATTGTGGTAAATTTGAATTTAAACCTTTGGCCTCCTTAGTTCTGGCAAAAAAAATGCATTTTTTCATCTTCAAAATACCTCAGTAAGAAGTTATTCCACATATATTTGCAAAGTAATGAACTGGCAAGATAAAGAGCCACACGATACGTATTTGTTATGAAATGTTTGTTCAGAAAGAATGGCAAAATGCAGCCAGCAAGATTTCAGCCTTGAATCTCTGCATTTAGTTCCATTTCAGAGGCACTTCCATTTCAGAAAGACACAGAGAAATTAAAAACCACTGAAGGAATGATTAAAAAAATGATTAGGGAAAAGAAAGGTTTGATTTATGAGGCCAGATTAAAGGAGATAAATGCCTATTACTTGGCTAAGTGACAACCAGGGAATATGATAAGATTCTACAAATATTGGGAGGATGTAAATATAGGTAATAGAGGAGACTACTAAGTGTAGTGCAAGATAGATCTAGTAAGAAAAAATGGAACGAAATATTAAACTGTAGACAATACGAAGAGGCTTTTGGCAAAAGGATTCATTAAGTGGGTAACAATACAAAATGGAAGATGGAGAAGTAGGAAGAGGAGAAAGAGGGGGAAGAAGGGGAGAAGAGTAGAAAGGAGTATGAGGAAGAAGAAAATGAAGGAAGAAAGGAGGAAGGGGAGGAAAAACGTGGAGAGAGAGAAGGAAGAAGAGAAGGAAGGCAGGAGGAAGGGAGTGGGAGAAGAGGGGAGGAGGAAAGAAAAGAAGAAAGGGAAGGGAAGAAAGGGAAGGAGAAGGAAGGGAAGAAAGAAGGAGGGAGGGAGAGAGAAGAAGGGAAGGAGAAAAAGAAGAAGGGAAGGAAGAAAAGAGAAAGAAAGGAAGGAGGGAGAAACAGAGGGAAGGGAAGAAGGAAGGAAGGAAGCAAGGAAGGAAGGAAGGAGGGAAGGAAGGAAGGAAGGAAGGAAGTTAGTTTTGTCCCACTGTACTTAGCAGAAAATATAAGAAATGGATTTCTGGCAGTTCTAAGGGAGAATGAACATCTTCCCAGAAACCTGAGCCAGCCAAGGAGATGGTGTCAACACCCAACCTCAGGGGAAAAGGCCCCCACTAAATCAGAAGGAGACAGTAATGAGGAGCCGAAGTGGCCTTGCAGAGCCATTACTCCTATTAAATCCAGGGCTTGTGCACAGGCTACCCGCCAACTTTTGGCTAGCCTACAACACACAACAGTTACTGTAATTGAAACTGAATTATAATACTGTCCTGGCACACATTCTCCCCTAAAAATACAACATATAATAATGCTGTTAAAATACGGACATCTGGAAAACAACCTAGAGTCCCATTGTTTGTAGCTGGCAACTGCCTTCTAAAGGAGTCCTTCACGCTTCCCTCTTCTACAGTATAAATGATGACATGGTGAAAAGGGGCACTTCATTTAGGTGAATCAGAAGTTTAATGTTTGTTGAGAAGCAACTAGATGCCAAACACCGTACTACTACTGTTTTTATAATGACCTTCTATGTGATTGAGATTCATATCCCTCTCACAAGATTAAAAGTCTAATGTCAAAGAAGTCAACTAATTCATTCTAAATCACATAAGAGATAAGAGAAATAGCCAGAAATAAATAGAATTCCAGTCTTCTTGTCCTCAAAATATTTCCATCATATCTAACAGCAGCTTGACCAATGCATAACATTTAGTAAATGTTCAATTAATATGTGCAGAATTGTGCAGAATCGAATTAAAGGGAATTGATGGTATAATTGAAATCTAAAAAAGTATCTCTAATGACTTTTGGCAATGAATTGATGAAGTGTTGCCAAATTTTCACCAAATGTTGAAATATGTATGAGTCAATTATGGCCACATTGAGACATGGCCTCTCTCTCTCTCTCTCTCTCTCTCTCTCTCTCTCTCTCTCTCTCCATATATATATAAAGGGAGGAGGAAGGGAAGGAAAAATGTGGAGAGAGAAAAGGAAGAAGAGAAGGAAAGCAGGAGGAAGGGAGTGGGAGAAGAGGGAGGAGGAAAGAAAGGAAGGAGGAAAGAAAAGGAAGGGAAGGGAAGAAAGGGAAGGGGAAGGAAGGGAAGGGAGAAAAGAAGGAGAGAGAGAGAGAGAGAAGAAGGGGAGGAGAAAAAGAAGAAGGGAAGGAAGAAAAGAGAAAAGAGAAAGAATATATATGTATATTCTTTCTTTCTTTCCCTCTCTCTCTCTCTCTCTCTCTCAGAGAGAGAGAGAGAGAGAGAGAGAGAGCAGCAGTTGTCACCTTTATTGTCTGCTTAAAAACTCAAATTGCATGCAGGTATATGGGTGAGATGATTTGATTTCAAGAAATGTGAATTCTTCACCCTGGGTCCTTAGGATAATCCTATTGTCCTTTGCTGTAATTAATGACCTAATTCCAACCAATGAAATGTAAAGAGATGAATAAAGATTTTGAACCCCTGAGTGTTAAGCACAATGACTCATAGTCAATAACTATTACATTAACAAGATATATTCATTCTATATTTTCTTCATAGACTCATTTTTTGGCATCCTGAAATGGACATGAATTCTTTCTTACATTATATATGATATATGGAATATATATTATATATATATATATATATATATATATATGGAATAAATCATATCTCATGTAGATACCTTTCACTTCCTTGGTTAATTCCTAGGCACTTTATCTGCAGCTATTGTAAATGGGATTACTTTCTTGATTTCTTTTTCAGATTGCTCATTGCTGACATATAGAAATACTATGGATTTTTATATTGATTTTGTATCCTGCAACTCATATAATATAATGAGTTTGGAAGTATATTCTCCTCCTAACTTTTCAGAATAGTTTGACCTGGACTGGTGCTAATTCTTCTTTAAGAGTTTGGTAGAATTCAGCAGGGAAGCCAGTGGGTTCTGGGCTTCTATCCGGGAGACTTTCTATTACATCTTTGATCTTGGTACTTGTAATTGACCTGTTCTGGTTTTGGATTTCTCCATGGTTCAATATTAGTAGGATGTATATGTCTACAAACTTACCTACTTATCTTAGGCTTTCCAGTTTATTGGTATATATGGAATACATAGGATAGTTTGATGCAGGCATGCAATTTGTAATAATCACATCAGGGTAAATGAGATATCTCTAACCTCAAGGTTTTATCTTTTCTGTGTTACATACAATTCAATTATACGCATAGTTATTTCAAAATGTGCAAATTAGTTTTGAGTGTAGCAACCTGTTGTGCTATCAAATGCTAGATCTTATTCAGTCTAAAGAATGATATTATTGTATCCATTAACGATCCCCATTCTCCCCAGCCCCAATACCCTTCCTGGACTCTGGTAACGATGATTCTACTCTCTATATTCATGAGTTAAATCACTTTAATTTTTAGCTCTCACAAATAAGTGTGAACATTCTAAGTTTGTCTTTCTGTGCTGGCTTATTTCATTTAACATTATGACCTCCAGTGTCATCCATGTTGTTGCAAACGAGAGGATCCCATTCATTTTTATGGCTGAATAGTACTCCCTTGTATTAACGTGCCATATTTCCTTTATCCATTTGTCTTTTGTGGACACATAAGTAGATTCCATATCTTGGATATTGTGAATAGTGCTGCAATAAGGATTGGAGTGCAGATATTTCTTTGATATACAATTATAACTTCTTTTCCTATCCAGGAATATCTAGATTATATGGTAGCTCTATTTTCAGTTTTTTTTTTTTTGTTTGTTTGTTTGTTTAGGAATCATCAAACTGTTCTCTATAGGGGTTGTACTAATTTACATTCCCACCAACAGTGTAATAGTGTTCACTTTTCTCCATATCCTTGCCAGCATTTGTTATTACCTGTCTTTCAGGTAAAAATCATTTTAATTGTGGTGAGATGATACCTCATTGTAGTTTTGATTTGCATTTCTCTGATGACCAGGCTGTGTCCTTCCCTTCAGGGCGGCAAGTTTCACTGGTCCCAGGCGGGTCTAGAGAGGACATCCGGGAGCCAGGGCCTGGAGTCAGAAACCTCAGGAATCTACCTGGTGCTCTATTCTATCATGGCTGAGCTGCCACTCCAGCCACAAAACAAAGCCCTTTCTACTCTTCTATGTCCTTTCCATAAGCAGAGGAGTCTCTTCCCCAGGTCCCAGACCCATGGTGAGTACTGCCTGGCTATCACAGATGTTCACTCAAATCCCAGGGCACTTCAATCACCTTCTGGTAAATGCTGCTGGGCCTAGGGCTCTCTGTTTAGGGCAGTAGGCTCCTCTCTAGCCCCGGGCATGTCCAGAAATGAAAAAACAAACAAACAAACAAAAAAAAAAAACGGCATCTCTTTAGAGCAAACTATCTTTGCCTTCCTTGATATTTAAGTTACCCCAAGTATATACCAGGCTTCCCCTGCCTTGCAAAAGCAAAGTACAAACTTAACATCTGAATAATTTCAATAAGTGCTAAATTTGTGTAAAACAATGCACATAATAATGACTTTATGTCTTCTAGGACAGTATGCTGACTGATGAATAATACTGACAGCTAATATACAACATTTGATTATCTACAATATTAAAAAATACTGTTTTATATACTCCCATGAGGACATAGAAAAACATACATAGTTTCCATACTTATTGAATTTATGACTGTACTGGCAGGCAGGATATAAATGCATGAAAACATTAAAAAAATCAAGGGTTAAATACCTATTTGAGATTTTCTTTTCAATAGAATTTACTAATATTTACGGGATACCTTCTGTGCATGAGAACTTGTGTTAGGTATCAGTATACAAGAAAGAATACAATAAGGTTATTTCTTTCGAGAACTCCACCATCTTGAGGGGGAGGAAAGCTTGCAAACACATAGTACCAAAACAACATCATTAGCAATATAGGGAAAGGTACATGGTGCTGTGGAATGCAGATGAGGAAAGACTTAGCTCTGCTGACAGTAGGCCTTATCAAGGAAGACTTCCCAAAGGAGGTGAGACTCACACTAGGTCTTGAAGAATAAGCGTTTATCAGGCCAAAAAGGAAGAGCACTCCAGGAAGGGGAAATATTATATGCAAGGTCATGCAGGTAAAAAGATTATAGAAGAGTGTGACAGACTGGGATAGCTGTAATAAGTATTACTAGCAAAATTACTGTTATTCAATGGGGAAGATGATATAAATAAAACCTTAAAGTGTCAATTTCTCATTTTTAAGGTCTACCAACTTAATAAAAATTGAGAGGAGCTCAAGGCCTCCTTAAGTAGAATCTTAACATTGCAACTAACATATTAACAGGTTTCCCTTTCATTAGTGTAGGAGAACTCATTAACAAACAATGTATTCAGACTTCATAAGCAAAAGCATACCTTCCTATTTAGGCTAGTATATCAAATTACATAAGGACTGCTATTAACATTACATGGATCATCTAATAGATCATTTAAATATGCACAGTGTTCAAGAGCAAATCTACTTTTTGAAAAGTAATTATAATTGCAGCTGAGGCAACTTGGAACATTTGATTAGTACAACACTAAGGATTGAGAATTATTTCTTATAAATGTACAGTTAAATAAGTTATCGATTATAGCATAAATTGATCAGCATGTATATGACACAAAAACATGTTAACCTGAATAAGTTTAGACTATCAGAACTACTGTTGTGAAATATGCCTTTGAAGCACTGACTCTAAAGAACACAGCAGAATCAAAGTTATAAGAACTATAGAAAATAGCATTTATAGTTGCAGAGTTCTGATTATTTGAATTCCAGGAATTAAACAGTTGCACTATCCATTTTCATACAAAAACAAACTGGATAAATGAGTGATGACATTCATTTTGCCAGTTTACAAAGTAAGGAAAAGCTTTATTTGTTAATTCTGTCAATGAGAAAATAAGAAATAATTGTGTATTTAATTCTGTTCATATTTAATCAAAACCTTACAGAGCATTCCGTATGCATGGTTTTCAACAAAAAGTGATGTCCTTAAAGAATAAGGAGCTTTAGCTTCCTCTTCAAACATAATAAGCGTTGCCATTGAACTTGCTTACTCTTACCTCAAGTGAACCATTACTTTTTGCAAATGAATTTTAGCAGAATTTTCCAACTCCAGCCTCAGTGTTCCTTTTTGCTATTTCTTTTGTTGCTTTTTGAAAAAACAAAAAACAAAACAAAACAAAACTTCTGTTCTTTTAGCTATGTTTTGACCATCATTTCTGGCAGGGCTCAATGGTACCTTTAAGATACCAACTCATTGGTTCAGAAAGCTAAAACCTGTCCCTTAAAAGCCAAACCTGGATCAGGACTAAAATTAAATAGAATTAACTCTTAATTTGTTCCTGTGTCCTATTCCTCCATTGACTGTTTCCTAGCCCCGAATAATTGTCCTTATTCATGTGTAAGACTCTGTGTCCTCTCTCTTCTTCCTTAGTTGAGTCTCGTTTTGACTTTCTACTCTCAACTTTGACTATTTTATTCTCTTTGGGCTAAAACTAATATTCAGGTGCTGTTTTCCCATCCCGATCTCAATAGTTGACAGTTTCTATCGTGCAGCTTAGAGTTCATGTCACTTTGAGCAATTTCCTTTAATGCTTTTATGCAATTTCCCTCAAGATGCTTTTTAAAATTTATTTTGTGTCTTCCTTCCTTTCCTTTCTCCTCCTTCTTACCTTGCTCTCTCTCTCAATCCCTACAAAGACACAAACACATACACTTTGACTACATTATGATATACCTGTTGATATTGTCTCTAGATATTTCATATGCAGATATATATTGTATATCTCATTTTGACAACATAAAAATCTATGCACAAGAAGCCATCTCCTACTTCCTTTGCCCAGAAGCTGGAGTCCAGTAAATTGTATTGAGTAAGCAAAATTGTTTGGCTGATTTATTCACTAATTCACTCATTCATTCAACAGATATTTATTAAATGTTTGATATGTGTCAGGCCTTACACTAAGTGCTGCATTCAATACTCAATTTAACCACAAGAGGTTTTTTTAATGATATTTTACTTTTTCTGCCTTACAAATTTTTTTTTCAATGGAATATTCTCATTTACCTTGTTTTTCTAGCAGTTTCTGCTCCTCCTTCATGATTCAACTTAAATATAAGGTTTTCCATGAAATATCTTCTAACCTTTAGATGTTTATCAGTTTCTTGCATTTGCTATCATCCTAGAACATGGGATGTTTCACATTTCATAGTAATTATTTATTCACATGTCTGTTTTCTCTCAATTAGACTCACTTTGTGGAAAGAGACACAATCTCTGATCTCTGCCTCCCCAGTACTTGTAACAATGCAGGGTACAGTGCAGGTCCTTAGTCAGTTTTATACATGATAATAAGAGCATCTACATGTACAAAATTTAGTATAAAGTCAACATCCAGCAGTTTAATAATATTATTAATAATCAATCCCAAATCAAGTGATTCCAATGACTTATAGTGTTTTAAAAGCTAGTATTAATCCTGACTCGTTTATTTAAATAAAATGGAATCAGAAGTAGCAAATTTGATTGCTCCATCCTCTAGAAAATAACATATAAAGAAACCCATTGGAAATTTTTATATTAACCCCTCTGTTGGTACCAGATACAGTAGATATTATAAGTTAATTAATATGGTATATTATAAGGAAATGAACCCAAGGATTCTAATTTCTTTATTGTTAGAAAAATGAAACTTTCCCAACAATTTGCCTATGTCCATTACCATTATTATGGTAATGACTTCAGATTTACACCTCCAATAGCGTTCCAAGTTTCTTATCCATCTCAATACCAGTTACCTCCCATGGAGTAACTCAGAAATATTGCAAACATGATATGCTCAAAAGACAACTCTCAATTCTGCCTTGAAACCTCTCTTCAACCCTTATCTCTGCAAATAGCACTGTCCAATATCTCAAGTCACAAACACAGGTACAGCAACCCTTACTTGGTCTTGATTCCAACTTTTATAACTCCACTCTCATCCAACCTTAAACAAGTCCTGCTGTCTTCATCCCAAATAGATTAAATCCTTCTCTCCATTTCCTGTAATGTGTTACATCAGTGGAGAGTCCCATTTCTCCCTGTGTTTAGTACTGAAACAGCTTCCTCTCTGTACTCCTTGTTTCTGATCTTGCTCCTTTCAATTCAAAGAGTTTCTTTTTTTCAACAATTATACTTTAAGTTCTGAGATACATGTGCAGATCATGCAGGTTGTTACATAGGTATACATGTGCCATGGAGGTTTGCTGCACCCATCCCCCTCTCAGCTACATTAGGTATTCTCCTAATGTTATCCCTCCCCAATACCCCCACCCCCTGCTATCCCTCCTCTAACCCCCCCACTCCTGACAGGCCCCAAGTGTGTGATGTCCCTCTCCCTGTGTCCATGTGCTCTCATTGTTCATTACCCACTTATGAGTGAGAACATGCGGTATTTGGTTTTCTGTTCCTGTGTTAGTTTGCTGAGAATGATGGTTTTTAGCTTCATCCATGTCCTTCCAAAGACATGAACTCATCCTTTTTTTATGGCTGTATAGTATTCCATGGTGTATATGTGCCACATTTTCTTTATCCAGTCTATCATTGATGGGCATTTTGGGTTGGTTCCAAGTCGTGTACTACATCAGACTATTCCTCAAAACCATCCAGGGACTTCCCATGTTATTTAGAATAATATTTCAATTTTTTATGGCTTATCAAGTATTATCTGCCTCTAATTCTTTCTGCAATGTTTCAGCTTTAATAATTTTCTTTGAGCTCCTGTAACACACCAAGGTCTTTACCTGCTCGCAGCCTTTGTACAAGCTGTTCTTTCTTCTTGAAATGCTCTTTCCATGAAGTCCTTTTATTGTTGGTTACTTCTTAGCATTTTGATCTCTGTTCATATTCTCTGGTCATGCTCTTGAATAGTTGTTCCCTTCAATCCCATAGAAATGTGTAATTTTTTCCATTCTTTCATAATTCAATTGCCAATTCTCAATAGAATTGGTGATTTTGCTTTAATAATACTTGTCCTTATTTGTGTCTTACTTATTTTCCCTCCTGGATTATAAATATTTTTAGGCAAAGACCTTCATAAGTCTTTTTACTCCCAGGGACCAGTATGGAGTAAAGCACTTAAAAAAAAATGTCTGTTGACAAGCAAATGCAGTAAAACAAAATAACTTAAAATTAAAAAAAAAACAAAACTCAATAGGCCTTAATTAAACAACTACTTTCTGCACATAGATATACTCATAAATTCTAGACGTTTAATATTCACAATAGCACTGTAAGGTACATCATATCATCCTCATTTAATTAATGACAAAAGCAAGTTTCTCAAAGTGTTGGTACAATTTCTGGATTTTAATCTAAGTTCCTGAGTCTAATCCCCATCCTTTGCTTTTTTTCATTCCCTATCCCCAAAGCCATCATTTAATTTAAATATAGTTTCTACCTCTTGCTGACATTTAACCATAAATTATTTTTCCACCATTAAATTAAAAAGAAAAAAAAATAAAGGAAAATACAACCCATGGCAATACACACTGGCATTCTGTCTTTGAAAACAACCACAAAAAAAAATAAAAACCATCAATAAAAACCTACTAAACCTGCCATAATAAATTAAAGATGTGTTAAAGGGAAAGAATGGATACTTCTGCTGATAAGGCTCATGGCCGGTGGCCAAAAGGAAATCTTCTGCTGTTCTTTAATAACTCAGTTCAAAAACCTTGGAAATCTTTACACCACTACTCTATCATATCACTTTAGAAATAAATTACAGGAAGTAATAAACATGGTATTTTCCTAAGTGTACTAAATTGTGAAAGAAAGAATTCTTCATCCAAGTGCCCACTGTCTGTTGCAAAGTCAGCTTAAGAAACTAGCTACAAAAACTCACCTTTTTAAAAAATCCAACAATCCTCCATAAACACCTAATGGAGAGGCAGGGGCATGGCGGTTGAGGGTTCAAGCTTAGAAATGAAGGGTTCAAGTCTCTCCTCAACTTTGCCAGCTGTATGACACTGAATAAATTATTCCTTTTGCTCATTATCAAAATATAGTTAATAATATTGTATATCTGATAGGGTTCTGGGAGGAATTAAAAGTCAAAACTAGTCAAATGGCCACTAGGTACAAAGATCTCCAAAAAAATAATGTTAACTTTGGCTACAGAATAATGCGTCCTGAGGGGCATAAGTTTCTGATACTCTGGGTATTGAGGACAGAAGTATTATGGAAGGGGTAACAAGGTAGCTGGCAGAGTAAATGGAGTTAAATAACCTTGAGGTATTTTAGGAACAAGCTATTCCCTTACCATTTTTTAAAATAGCTTTTGTTGGAGGTATAATTTGCACATCATAAAATTCACCCACTTAAGCGTACAACTGAATAACTTTTAGGAAATTTACCAGGTTATATAACCGTCACTAACATCTAACATCAGAATATTTTCATTGCCTCAGAAAGATTCCTCATGCTCATTTACAGTAACTGCCATTCACACCCCCGCCCCAGGCAACCACTTATCTATATTCTGTCTCTGTAGGTTTGCCTCTTCTGGATATTTTATATAAATGCTATACAAATATAATATATATAAATGCTATTATACCATTTGTGATCTTTTGTATATGGTTTCTTTCAGATCACATGATGGGAAGGCTCAACTCTGCAATGGCATGTGTCAGTTTGCTTCTGTTGCTAAATTGTGTTCCATTCTGTAAATACACTACGTTGTTTTGATCCATTCAACAGTTGACAGACTCTTATTTCTAGTTTTTGACTATGACAACTCATGCTTGTATAAACATTTCTATACAAGTCTTTTTCTACACCTGTGTTTTCATTTCTTTTCAGTACATTCCCAGGAGCTCTCCTTTTCCATTTAATAGAAAAGATCTACCCTTGAAAGACCCCAATGCAACTTGTTAGAAGAGGGTAGGGAGTTCTAATTCCAACTTACCAGTAACTACTGAGTGATCAGCTCACACACTGAAGTAGAAAAAAAAAGGCATATCAGTTTTTATCTCTGCCCTTTTCCCACTAAATATCCTTGTGACTTTGGGAGATAACTGTGCCTCGTAGCATCTAGGCATCTTCACTTGTGAACTAAAGGCAGAAACAGGATGTTCTCTGAACTCTCTTTTACCTTAAAAACATCATACTCTTAGTAACTAAAATTTTATAAAGAAATCCAAAAAGTACAATCAATGGATTATCTCCCTTGACTCTGACATTTTCTGGTCATAGCCAGCACTAATCACAAAATGTATGATACAGAAAGCGTTTGGGTACTGTGTATTGCATGCAGAATCCAGGATTTACTAGGTGTCACTCTCCATGTGTCTGTTTTGCTCTTGGAATTCTTGTATGTCACTCTATTTCTCTGTCCATATTTTGCTAAGGCAGTTTTTTGTTCAGAGTTAATTGGGCATAAAACAAACATTAGTACAAGAAAATAGGGTGGATTGTTTTAACAAACATTTAAAAAATATAAATCCATGTAACTACCGTCACCTCCAAAATAGTCACCTCATTGGTTTTATATTTCTTTCCTTTATTCTAATATCACTCAGGGCATACTTGGATATTTCCCTTTGGAATTGCCCTCCAAATAGTGGTATAGCCAATTTATAAAATTAATTTTCAAACCTTATTATGAAATGTTAGGCTTGTCGAAGGGAGTATAAAGAAAAATACAATGAGCATGCATGGACCAATCACAAAGCTTTAAAATAACTGATTACTAGCCGGGCACAGTGGCTCATGCCTGTAATCCCAGCACTTTGGGTGGCCAAGGTGGGTGGATCACAAGATCAGCAGTTCAAAACCAGCCCGACCAACATGGTGAACCCCATCTCTACCAAAAAATTACAAAAATTATCTGGGTGTGGTGGCACACACTTGTAATCCCAGCTACTCAGCAGGCTGAGGCAGGGGAATCACTTGAACACTGAAGACAGAGGTTGCAGTGAGCCGAGATCGAGCCATTGTACTCCAGCCTGGATGACAGAGCAAGACTCCATCTCAAAATAAAAAACAACACAAACAAACAAAAATTGATTACTGATGCTCTGGGGTCTAGTAATATCCCTCATCAACTTTCTCTCTAGTTATCTCTAATAATTTCTACATTTGAACATGAGTGTCCTCACACACGTATTTATATTTTTACATATGTATGTTACCCTGACTAATATATGATATTGCTTTTCTAGTTTAAGTATTTATATAAATGGTATCAAAATGGCATCAAACTATATGCATGATCCAGTATGATCCAGTTTGCTGGATTAACTCAATATCATGTTTGGTGAATTTATTTACATTGAGGGATGAGTTCTAATCTGATATTCACCTTGTATAACAATTAAATTTTTAATAAACCAGAATTTTTGATACTATTTCATATTGATATATATTTAGATGATATCTAGTATTTTGCTCCCACAAACACTTTTAGCTGTAAACATTCTTGTATCTATCTTCTTTGTATACTTATTGAAGGGTTTTCCTAGAACTACCATTACCTAGAGTTTCATTACCTAGGAATGAAATTTCCAGATTCTGAGAAATGAATACCTTCATTTTTACTAATTACTGCTGCATTTTCTCCAAACTGTTTATACCCACTTTTATTCTATTCATCAAGGTATAAAGCTCTCATTTGTGCATAGCTCCCCTAAACTCATTACTGTTAGACATTTTAATTTTCCTAGTTACCAATTTGATTCTTAAATAGCAAGTTTAACCAAAAATAAGTGACTATGTCCTATGAATATACCTCTGTGCTTGGTTCTGTGTGGAATGCAAAATGTGATATAATGGAAATACACTGGAATTGGAGGAACCAAAAACAGCCCTCACTCTTGCTGTCTGTGAAAACCTGAGCAAGTTGTTTAACCTCTTCAATGCTCAGTTTCTTCATCTGTAATATGAAGGATTGGACAGGAAAATGTTTCAGGCTCCTTTCACCTTCATCCTACTTGAGTTTATGATGGTCTACGGGAGCTTACAAGGCAGGAGGAGGTGCAAAACACAAGTAACTTTAATAGTAGACCCAAATATGCATGTAGAAGGCATTAGGAGAGAATAGGACAAAGGATCTAAATAGGATGAGGGAGAAACTAGAAAGGTTTCATCCACATAAATCGAATGAGATTCACCAAGATGGCATGGATGGAATGGAGGAAAGGCAGTTAAGGAGAGGAAAGAGCATGGCGGATGGGGTTGTAAAAGAAGGCAGTGAGGGAGAGGGGCAAGGATAGGAAGAAGGGTGTGGCTGGAGCAAAAGTTGTTTAGGTACATGCTGGGAAGCAGAGAAGATGAGGCCAGATATTTTGTGATTTTTATTATGTCAAGCTGTAATAAATCTTCAGTATATTATTGATAATTTGATTTTTAAAACTCTTCAAAGCAATGTGGAATCAAATCTGCAGAGAAGGCAGATAGTCATTTTATTTTCACTTTAAAATGATGCCATGAAACCAATTTCTTCTGAGGCCAATAAGCTGATTCTGCAGTCACTTCTCTAGCAGGACTGCTCAGGGGGCTTGAGAAATGGGAAGAAGCATTGCAGAGAAAAGAATGGAGTCTCCTTGGGTGCAAGCTTTGAACAGACATGCTTCTCTGGATTTCTGAATTTTATCAGGTGGTTTAAAAGATTCATTATTTTATAGTTATACTTGGTATTGCAAATTCTTAGAGCCTGATGGAATTTTAGTATTCCCACACAAAATTTAAAAAGTACAGAGAATTTTTTTATTACTGAGAGGAAAAAATACCTTCTAAGAGGCTTCAACTGGCTATGCTAGAAAGGCTGGGAATTTTGAAAAAATCATTAATGTATCTCATTTTGAATAAACTGATTTATTATTGGTTATAAACATGGACCTCAAAGACAAATGCCTGGGTTCAAATCTAGACTTTCCTATTGTAAAGAGAGATTTTTATTTAAGCAAGTTATTTAAGATCAGTTTGTTACTATTAGTATTGCATTTGGCTAGATGTAACAAAATACCTAAGTCAATTTCTTCCACCTGTGTAATGTCTTGTTTTTCTCATATCATAGGACGTCACAGGCGGGCAGCTAAAGCCTGGCTCTATGGTATTGCTAATGACCTATGCTCCTTCCAGCTTTCTACTCCACCATTCTTGATATGTAGCTTTTGTCCTTGGTTTCAAGATAGCTCCTTTATCACTAAGCATTGCTTCTGAGTTTGAAAAAGAAACAAGGGAGAATGAACCAAAATCCTTCCCTTTATAAGACTTTGTATTTTTATCAAAAGCTTACTCCACTCAAGAGATTTACTTAAGTCCCACTGGTTATACATTGTGGCATAGGAACCTGGAAAACCAATTTAAAAAAAATTGCTGAATGCACAGTTCATTGCTATCCTAAAGAAAATTAGAATTCTTTTAGTAAAAATGATGTCTAGCCAGGTATGGTGGCATGTGACTATAAACTCTTGAACTTGGTAACCAGAGGTTGCAGTGAACTGGGATCATGCCACTGCACTCCAGCCTAGGTGACAGAGTGAGACTCTGTCTCAAAAAATCCAAAACCAAACAACAACAATAACAACAAAAAACGATGTTAAAGTGAGAATTTGGTAACAGCTAACAGTGCCTGCTATATACTAAAGAGTTATTTTGAAATTTAAAAGCAAAATAAGTCGTAGCACATAGTAACCATTCAATAATTGTTACTACCAAAAGGATTATATTAATGTGTAACTACTAATGTTATATTATTTATGCTATATATATACATTCCTCCAAGTACACTTTAATCGTTCATGGCCCAGATCAAATACCACATCTACTACCACCTACTAACATTCTCTGATTCTGCCACTCAGACAGTTTTTCGATACCACTTGATCAGTTATAGTTGATGAAACACAAACTAATCTGACAAGTAAGAAAAAGGATTGTGTTGGAAGGACACAAAATTATAGAATTCAGAGGAGAGCTAGTTCCAATAAGTCATATAGGAACCTATAGAAACATGGGAACCTAAATAAGCTTCATGGGGGTAAACACCACCAAGCTTGTGTGTTTAGCTTCTTGAGCTACCATAGCAGAAAGTAATTATTTGATTCCTACCAGGATACACAATGCAATTGCTCTTAAATAGGCAAGTGCTTTGCTTCTAGACAGATAAAGCATGACTGCTCTCTATTATAGGGTCACATGGACATAAGTTGTTGACTTTGGTCAAATGACACTATGATAGCTCAGTGTTATCCGGTTGCAGAAATGCCTATTTGTTCACCGAAATTCTGCTGAGTAACTGTAATAACAATAAGAGGGAAATTGTTTCAGAGAAAATTGCGTGAATAAATTTAAAAGAAGTAACACATGGTGTTAATTCACAGAATGACAGGTATAATAATTTAGTTTAAACATAGGTTATAGAAAGGCACTAGCCACTTAAAAAGCAAAACAACTAAGCAACATAATATAGAAATTAAATATATTTCCATAGTAACATGCAGGTCACAACCATGCCTTAAGAGAATTTATCCGGTCTGTTAGTTGTATTAAAAAACGGAAATAATAATATCCTAAATATAGGTAATAGATCTAACTACGGGATCTGAAGTGGGGATGAGTAGAAGGGGAATAGGTGAGAAAATTAGGAAGAAATAATAGTGAGAAATTGCAATCAGAGATTATATTTAGGAAGCAAAGATGGAAGCTTTCAAGATCTCCTGTGATTTCAAGCTTGGGTAAATTGGTGCTGCCAAGAAAATA